GTCGCCGCCACACAGGCAGCCCCGCCGGCAACGCCAGGGTGCGGGACAGCGGCGGCGCCCCAAGAGCACAAGGAGTGCGGTGTCGAGGAGGTGCCTGGGCCCGGGCCGGGGGAAGGCCTCAGGTCGCCGCCACACTGGCGGCCCCCCTAGCAACCCTAGCACTGCCGCGTCGAGTGCCGAACCGTGGCCGCCGTCCCCACTCTTCCTGCCTGAGGACGAAGTCCTCCCATCCCTAGGCCCTAGGACCCTACTCCAGCTCGACAAGCTTGGCCTTGAGCAGCTTCGCTCAAGGCATTTGTCGTGCTGGTACCGTCTGATCAGGTTGGCAACCTATCTACCACAGCCGTGAAGATATTGCCTAATCTGTAGGAGTGCTACCGTGGGAGGGAGGGGAGGGGGGACTAGCTGCGGATAAAGGAACTCATCTGAACCGAACGCGCTGCTGCGACTGCGAATAGTTCGGGAGTGTTGTGTTGTGGTTGTGGTGATTGGCTTTGGTTCGGTTTGGTTATGTACATAGTGCGACGCGCTCGTTCTTCGTGATAAAATGTCTCTGTATTTGCTCGTGGTTAACTTGGGCTCCTGTTTGGAAACACTTTTAAGTTCCCTATTATAATTGCTTCCACCGATGGACTGAATCATGATATGACAAGCAATGTATTAAATGTAAGTTGCATTCCTTCCATCTATCCCTTAAAGGATTTCACCTGTTTCTCGTACTATTAGTCATTTTACCATTTTTTGATAGTAAATGTGTAGTGGCATCTGTAGCCAGGGATTCTGTTGATGCGAAATTAATTTTTGTGATAGGCTATGTGTCAGGAAAGCTGGCTCGGAAGTTCTGTCCTCAATTATTTTGATCATATAAGGTGAACAATTTAGGGTTGGGAGTGACAAAAATAGTAGCATTTTAAGAGCATGATAAGTGGGGAAACAGGTAAATCATTTTCTATGGTTTATGTAAAGTATTTATGCTGTAGCATTCGGCACATTTCATTTGTATTATTAAGCCTATTCCATATCAGTTAACCGTAAGCTACGGTGTGGTGGAGAGCCAGCTTATCAATTTAGATTTGTTTGTAATGTACGATGAATTATCCAAGTTCCTGGCTTACGAAGATTCTTATCCGTAAATTACAAACAAGTCTGTTCGTATTATGTGAGCGCAACTTTCACCGTATCTTACCAACTAAAGTCTTTGTAATACGGATAGAATTGTTCGTAGAATCTTTAGAGTGTGCATTCGCACCTTCTCACGATGCAGTCCGCACACGTCCTCTCACGCGGTACTCCAATGGAGCGCGGAGCGGAAGTAAGAAGAACAAAAACGGAGGGTGGAAAGGCGCCAGCGCCCGGAACGCCCTCCCGTTTTTGTTCTTCTTACTTCTGCTCCGCGCTCCATTGGAATGCCCTATTGCGCAATGCCCCCCCCC